TGAATTAGTCTATTTTTATACCTCTGTCCTGTATCACAAACCTCTTGAACCACACTTAATATGAACAGCAAATTTCACACTGCACGTGGAGATCTCTCAGCACAGATTAAATTAGTTATAATAAAACAATTAAAATCTATTTGCCCACAGACAGGAGGAAATGAAGGACCTGGGTGAGCAATAGAAAGGTAAAGGGTGGGTTGTCAGGACATCAGAAGAGTAAACAGCAGAACTGTGATTCTCAGGAGCATAGCAGGGTCAAACTTGCTGCAAGATAACTATGCGAGAGATAATAAATCAGTAGTACATATTAAACACCAGATGGTTGTGCCCATGCAGGAAGGCACAATGGATCATGTAACTGTGGTTGTTTCTAAGGATTACTGATTCAGCCTGACTTCACAGGGATATCCTAACAAATAAAATCTTTATGGCCTCTTCCGCTGGTGAACATTTTCATCTACCGTTTAAAGACAGGACCACATGTCTTAGCATTTTCATTGCCCCTAATATATATGCAAAATTAATTTAAGTTCACCCACTTTTAGCTGGTAAAGATTTTTTTACTATCTAGTACTGTAAAGTTGCTTCACAGCGATTATTACAAATACTCAGATGGACAGACAGGCCATTGTTCCAAGCTTTAGCTCAGCTGAATCCCCCAAGTGTTTCAGGCATAGAGGCAAACACACTTAAAAACTCCTAAACCTATTGAGTTGTCTTTCAAAATTGTCCAGGCAACAGAATTTATTTATAAAACTCTTGCAATCGTTGATTCAAAACAAGGTTTTCTTGTTCTGCTTTTCTCCTTTGTCCTCTTTGAACAATTTTCTTTGGAATGTTTTCGTTGTGCTTAGGAGTTGGAGATTTCCTGGGGCTCCTAATAAAGGCATTTGATTTCCACTCTCCACATACTTTAACAAGTCCAAGTATTTTGAGGTTTGACATTAACTTAAGAGAGGTGGAGATAATCAGCAATGGGGGTAAAAAGTCAGTTATGCAAATTATTTGTAAAATGTATAGAAAGCAAAAGAAATACTACTTTAAATGTGGTTGGTGTGGGACGAAGTCTTTGTCTCAGCACAGAATATCTGCATGCTCCCCTTCAAATTTATGGCTTTGATTGAAACCTGTAAAGGGGTGATCTGTAAAGTATTCCTGCTATCCTACACTTCTCAACAGGTTTATTACCATTCGTTTATAAAATGAACAGTCTAATGAGCAGTGGTTTAGATCACAGATATCAAAGTCTGGTCATTTGTCAAGATTAGTTTCCTGTTGTGAGATTGCCTTGTGCAAAAAAAGTGCATAACCTTGGGTTACTCTCTGGAAGCTGAAAAAATACCTATAAACACTTTATAAGATAGATTTAATGAAGATTTTATAATCTCAGAATTAAATCCAACACGATGCAGTATGTATGTGTGTATTTGTATGAGTACATGTTATAATGTAGAAAGTACCCGAGTACAGAGTATGGAATTTTCTTATGTTGACAAAGGACACATTAAAGATATGAAGTCCATGCAGTATTGTCAGGCCAATTTAATGTTAATTTGAATGAGTTAATACTACATTGACGACAATGTAATTCGTTGTTACTAAAAGACTGCCTTTGGAAACATTGCTGTGAAAGCGCCATCTTTCTGGCAATACTCAATTGCCAATAAATATCACAAAATATTTTCTATTTATGTGCTAGACATCTTTTATTTTGAAGAAAAAAAACCCCAAACACTCAGTAAAGCAGTATGACAGCAGAGGTGCTACTCAGGTAAACAATACACTCTGTAGCACAAGGCTAAGAAGTAGATTATTTTTATGTCCCAGTTAGAAGAAATGTGAAGGGGGGTATATGCTTTCCTACTTAAAATTATTTGTAAACCGTATTACGTTTGTGTTTTCACTTTCACTGGATGGTGGCGTATTTTGTGGTTTGCTTGGAAGAAAACTGGAGGCAGTGCGGCCTTACTTGTGGCGATGCAGCAGCCACCGCAGCGCCCGTCCCGCTTGTTTCGGGCCCCACACCGCACATCGGCTCCGTGCTGCAGCCGGACCCCTCCCAGGGAAGGCTCCCTATTCTCTCCTCGCTGAGGTGGGGAGGCAGGAAGCTGCCTGCCTGCTGCCTGCCTGCTGCCTGCAGCTGCCTTCTGCCTGGCCATTCCAGCTCTGCGCTGCCTACGCGGAGCTGTGCGGAGGTTCGGCCAGCTGGCATCGGGGATGGCTTGGTTCAGGAGGGCCCAATGTGCGGTCCGCTGGGGCCCGGCTC